ACAAGCAGTCTTTGTATGCAAGACTACACTGAGCTGAAGTGGGGCTCTCAGAAACGCTAAATGGGATCACAGAGGATTGAGATAATGTATTAGAGGAGTTTCTACATTTTCAAAAGGAGTGGACGGAGAAGACAGTGTGCACCAAGTACAAAAGTAAGAACTACTTAAAAGCATAATTCCAGGCCTAGAGAGATGGCTCAACAGTTAAGAGCATTTGCTGTTCTTCTAGAGGCCTTGAGGTAAGTTCCCAGCACATACACTCAATGGCTTACAATCATTTGTAACCCCAGCTTTAGGTGATCTGATGATCTCTTCTGGCCTCTGTGTGTGTGTGTGTGTGTGTGTGTGTGTACGCACGCACAGACACAAACACATTAATAGAAAATCATTAAAATGTAGCACTCCATTCATGCACAGGGCCAGGGGACCAAAGTTGGCATAAACGAGTCAGAAGAGTCAGCATCACTGAAATCAAGCATTTTAGTAGGTAAACTCTTTAACATGGCATTTAACATCTTTTACTAACTGGCCCTATCTATTTCTCTAACATATTATCGCCTCTTTCTTCCTGCGCTGTATGATCCAGGACTCCAAAATAACATTGTCTGTTTTTCAGAGAGTATATTCTTGCTCACCTCATGAATCCACAAATGTTATCCTCTCTGCTGATTACCCACAGGCCCCAATCCTTCCAATGGCTAATCTCTATACTTTTTTAGTCTTGGTATAAATAGTTCTTCAGTTTGGTCTTTCTCAACACACACATGCATATAATATATAATATATATATTGATAGATAATTGTGTGATGGACGGAGAGATGGATGTATGTGGTGTGTGTGAGTGTGTGTGCATGTGTATTCTATCATCTGTGCACATAAGTAGGTCAGAGGCTGAAATCAGGTGTCTTCCTCTATCTAAGTTATCTCTTGAGATAGGGTCTCTAGCTAAGTCTGAATCTCACTGTTTCGACTAGACTGGCTGGTGGGACCTCAGTTTAGGTCCTCATGCCTTCACAGGAAACATTTCATCCATGAAGTCATCTCCCCTGCCCCAAAGGCTCTCTTCAGATTTTGTTGCCTCCAACTTCCCAAACCCTAAGGACCATTACTTCTCATTGTAATTATTTGTCTGATTCTTGTCTTCTTTTAGGGTGCAGCTGAGAATGGACAGGGATCATACCTGCTTTATTTGTCACTTTAGTCCTGGTGGCTTGTTTAAACATTCAATGACTAACAAATAGAGAGCCACAAAGTATTGAAGTATAGTGTAATCTATATAGTTTTTTACTGGAGCGATGGATAGTGTCTTCTACTTGAGCTTAGAACACCCTGTTTATGCCATGAGGCAATAATACAACTTTATTCCAGTTGAGAACAGTGTCAATCTTAATTTTATTCACTAATTCTGTGATAATTTATATGATTAAACAATCATACTGCAGAATGAGGTGATCTCTAAATTGCCTAAATTAGGCTTATGCCACACTGCCCTCTGTGTGGCCCTCATCCTAATATTTCCCTGGAGTGTGTTTTCTCCTTCTATATCTGTGTAATCCTGAAATTACATGGGAGCTGAGCAACCTGCAAATGTCTATCCCAATCTTGAGAAATTCAAACAAACACTCAAATCACTTGAGATTTGTAGTGACGTCTAAGAATCAAAATTATGTAGTATCTATAACATCCTTGGGGCTTTTAGAGAGTTCCAAAAGAATTTCAGGCCTATCAGTTATACACTAGTGGTATATCTACATTATGATGATAATCAATGGTAATTTTCCCATGCTAGACAGATTGCTGATTGAGTACTGGAGTCTGTTCTCCACCTGCTTCTTTCTCAGCCACCTCCATAGAGAAGAGAAAAACACCTATGTCCTTAGCCTCCCTTGCAAGTGAAGTTGCCTGCTAGGTGACTCTGGTCTGGACAAGGGAGAAGAGAAAATATATTTTCTTTCCTTAACAGAGATGAGACAGGGAGTGAAAAGACCTCAGCTGCCCTTCCTGCCTTCCTGCTTCACATTGTTGATGTTTGAAACAGTGGCCTCCATCTTGAGATGACAAAACAAGCCAAAGGCAAAGAGGCAAACTATAAAGGATGGCAGAGTGGAAAGAACAAACTAAGTCACTGTCGAAACTGTGGAGCAGTGGATCCAATGTCAGTAACCACACGTCTCCAGACTCCTTGTTAAACGAGAAAGTCACCACCCTCGTTTGTTTAAATGACTGTTACTTGAAGATTCAGTTATTAACAAAACCAAATGTAGCTTTAACTCAACTAGCTACCTTAATATTTCCTTAAATTAACTAAAACAGAAGTAAATTATTAACTCCTGATCATTTGTATTTGGGGGAAAACATTGGATTTTGGAGGAAACTCAGAAAAAAACATAAGTTCATCTGAAAGGTTTGGTTATTTTCATCCCAGAAGCAGGAAGCAAAGGAGTCTCCACTTGCCATCACACATAATACAAACTCTTGGAGCTGTGGACTGCTGAGACCCTTCTGCGTGACTAAATACTCTCTAGGAGCTCAGAGATATAAGCCCTAGCTGGAGGGAAACTTTTGAACTTTGTGCTGATTAGACGATCCTGAACCATTCAAGCAAGGACTGACCAGGAAGTGTCAAGTGCTGATAAGATTGGGCCAACCACTGTGGTGGTGGGGGGCCTGTATTGATTAACTTAATAAATCTAGTGTCTACCTCTCCAACAAAGATGGAGTATAACCCCACATCAAACCTAGAACTGATATCGAGTAGTGGAGGTATGGGGTAGCTCTTGGTAGAGCAACCAACCTATAAACCCTCCACTCCTGGAGATAAGGGAGTTGGACCCCTTGGCCACTAAGACTCTTTTCAGATCTAAAGCAACTGTCTGCGAGCAGAGACCATGCCTATCCGTGCAGTTCTCTTTTGTCCCACCTGCATATCTTTTTCTTCTTTCTAATTGTCCACTTCTACTTCTGAGAATTCTCCATGAAAGATAAACTCCAAAGTAAAGTAGGCAAGCCTTAGCACAGCTCATATTTGGGCTGGAGAAAGGGAGCTGGCAGGGTGACTTGCGAGGATTTATGCGCACTTCAGAGCAGAGTGAATGACGCCTTATTCATTAGGTGGCAGGTAGACATGATAGGTTGGGGTAAGTGACTTGTAACTGTTGGACCCTCAAAGAAGACAAAGTTTCTTGGGCTCTGAAGCTCATTCTTTAGAGAAAACACAAAATCTTTGGGAAAGGAGGAAAACTTTATGCAACTATGTTCTCCCTTGATTTGTTTTTAAAAAAGAAAAGGTAAGAAAGATAAGAAAGAGGTTTAGCTCCCAAATATTTAATAGGCAAATCTCCCAGCCTTTTTAGGGAGCAATCAAGGGTTTGTGCAGATCATTTCTGAAAGGGAAATAGGCTGTCTTCACCCTGCCCCCTGCACTTTGGCAAATACTACTTTAAAAATACCGCGCTGAGAATTTTAACAGATGATTTCTGGAAAGCTGACTTATGAACTAATTGGCCACTTCTGCTGTGTGGAGGAACAAAGACTTCTTTTTTATTGGTCTTCAACTAAGGCATATACCTGTCTCATGGCGTTGGCTCACTCTGCACATGCTCAGTTGAACAGAAATCTTCATATTGCATACAACCTAGCACAGCGGCAACACCCACAGCTTTACTCCGTGGCTGACCCTATGCGTCCATTCCTTCTAGTTGCATTTTTATGCTGAGAACTCCAACATTTGTAGGAAGTACAGTAAACAAAGTAGATGCTGGGGCTGGAGAACAATATACGATGGATTTAAAGTCTCCTTATGTCACTATCTTCCTGACCCGTCTCTATATTTTGTCTAGCAGGAACAGACACTGCATAGATATTTGGTGAGTTTGGGGCAGGCGGCAGGCGAAGCTGTTTCTCTAGTTCACTGTTCGTTGTTGTACACCTTCCTCTGCAGTTTTTTTGTTTGGCCCTTTTCTTGGACAATTCTCCCCCTCCCCCAGCCCTTATCTTCATTAAAGAATGGCAGGGTGGCACTAAAAGCATCCGCCGCCAAGTGCCTTCTTGAGTGACAATCTCTCTCCACCTCCTCTCTGGCTTTCCCATTCATTAGAACCCTTTCCCTGCGTTTTTCCCAGCTAAAAACTGGGAACGGCTTCCTGAGGTTACGAAAGAAGGGCGAAAACTGCCAGAGTGCTGAGCACGCTGTCCCAAAACGTGCATACTGCTGTGGACCTTTTGTCCCCAGCCCCTTTTCTCCACTTGGTCGCAGCTTGGGCATAGAGGCGACGACCTCCACCAGCCCCACCTCAGCAGCTGCAACTCGCGCAGCTCCGCTAGCCGACCCCCAGCGCCCTCTAGATTCCCCGCGCCGGCCGGTTCTTCGTGACGTTGCGGGCGCTGTGCGCATGCGCCATGGGGAGCACTCCCCCCCCTCCTCCGCCTCCTTCCCCGGTCCCCGCCTCCCAAAGGGCCGGAGTGGGCGGGGCCTGCGGGTCTAGCAGCCGCGCGGGCCAAAGGGAGGAGGGCTAGTCTGCGCGGGGCGGCTGCACCGGGTTTGTGAGCCAGGCGGTAGCTGAAGCTGAGGGGAGGAGCTGAAGGCAGCGGTCGCGGCTCCCGCCCGTACTGAACACTCATCCCGCGAAGCCCCCTCCCACACTCGGGCGGGCGGCGGCGGCGGCGGGAGGAGGAGAAGGAGGAGGGAGCGTCTCTGCCGCCGCCTCCTGGTCCCCAGCGCCGATCAGCCGCCACCACCTCCCTTCGCGACGATCCTCCCTCCATGGTACTGTCGCGGCCCCCCCTGTAGCCCGAGCTGCCCCGCGCCGGAGCCGGTCTCGGGCAGAGGGAGCGGTCGCGGCCTCGCGGCCCGCGCGGGCTGACGAGCGGAGAGTGCGGCGCCTCGCGATCCCCGAGGGTCCGCACGCCCGGCAGCGCGGCCGCGAGCGACAGCGCCAAGAGCAGCGGGCGGGCGGGCGGCGCCGGGCCCGGGCCGCCCTCGCTCCCACGCCCCGGCCCCGCCGCCCGCGCCGGGGCGGCAGCCGGCAGAGGAAAGGCGCTGCAGTCTCCCGGCCTCGCGGCCCCAGTTGAGCTTCCTCTGCACTGAGGGCTTGCGGGTCCGGTGGAGAGGACGCGAGCCCGGAGCTCCGGGCACTGAGCTCTTGGGCGCCCCCAACCCAGTTTTCAGAACCCTCCACGCTGCGGCCACTGTCCCCTCCGGACCATGGCCGACGACGACGTGCTGTTCGAGGATGTGTACGAGCTGTGCGAGGTGATCGGCAAGTGAGTCTCCACTCGAGGGAGCGGGAGTGTGGAAAAATGCATTTCAGCGATGCCCGGGGCCTCCCGCACCCGCTCCGGGCCTGCCCCCTGCCCTCTCTCCCTCCCCTCTGCTTCCCTCGTCCTCTTCACCCTGGAGTATTTATAGACGTGTACCCGGGTCTCCTGCCAGGAGAGGGTCTGGGGGCTTCTCGGCCACCCGTGGAGGCCAACGAGCCCGGGTCGGCCACCCCATAAGGCGTGGGGCGGGCTCCCTGCATTTTATCTGACGGTTACACAGGGACGTGGCAGGACCGATTTTATAGTTGCTTCCTGGGAACAGTTGGGGTTATTGTTACCTTTCCTGTACCATAGACCTTTTACGAAAAGAGCAGCTTGCATTTCGTGTGCTTGTGTGGAGAGAGCGAGAGAGCGCGTCCAGGGTTTTTAATTGTGGGGTGTGTGTCTATTGTGCCAGGATATTAGACAGATGCCTTTGTGTTCACCCCATGCCCGGATTTAAGAGGGTCATTGAAGACGGGTGCGTCCAGTTTCAGCAAATTCTTCACCTGCCTTAGACAAACGTAGAAAGAGTTAGGGGCACCCAAATTTTTAATGCCTCGTTATGCAATGACTGTACAATCAGTGCTCGAGGCTCCCTTCCACTGTTGTTGGGATGGTGGTTAGCGTGGTAGAGCCGTCTGCTTTGAGTCACCGGGCTGGTCTAAAATATAGAACTGACAGTCCAAATGCTCATCCTTTCATCTGTGTTGTATAATTACACTAGGGAAAAGCAGGGAATCAGATTAATCACAGTACTGATTGAGAATTAAATCTGCAGTTCCTCATCTAATTGTCCAGTCCTGAAATCTGTTTTGAATTGTTTCCTTTTCATTCTTGTCAAACAATATTCCAAGTGCACAATCCTGCTAATTTGCTTGTGAGGGAAATGCTGGCAATCTGAAGTTGATTTCCTAGCTCAGCGTGTGTTCTGTGGCTTTGGAAGTTGAGATAAGATTTAAGAGCGATTTTTGCTTATTTAATAGGGCTCGTTAGATAGCTAGTATTGGAATATTTTACGTCGTTTTGGAAGCGGTGCTTTATTGTCTATTTTAAGGTCCACAGTTGGGAAATGAAACCAAGACAGAGCAGTTGGCTCTACCTCTTTTAAGTTGTCTGCAGTATACTCAGTTTCAATTTTTTGAGTACTGATAACTCATTTTTTTCCTCCATATTGAGGTATTACATTGCTGCTCACAGGGTGAAATTGTGGGTTGAGCTTGCTACACTCTTTCCATACATAGATCCAAACGCTTCGAGGACGCATTACTCCTTGCCCCATTGTTCAATGGCCAGCCTGTCTGTTAGGAGGAAGATGTCCAAATGTGTCTGGTAGAGTCGTGGATGTGCCCTAGAGCAGCTCTGTCCAAAGCTATCTAATGAGAGCCACGTGTAATGTATAATTTTCTAGTAGCCACATTAGAACGATTTCAAACAAAAAGGTGCAATTAATTTTAGTAAAATATTTATTTAATACACTACATCTGAATTAGTGATTTCAGCATGAAATTTTTTTGCAATGCTGTGCATGTTTTCATACTAAGTCATTGAAATCCAATGTGTGTTTTATACTAACAGCACATCTCAATTCTGACGCTAAGCTGAATTTTCCCCAGAACTACTTGATCTGTATTTAGGTCTCATAAAATTTGAATGTGCAAAAGTAGATTCACATACTCAAGTTGTTCCAAACATACATAAAAGTTTTCCAGTAACTGAATTTACTATTTCTAAATTTTAATCAATTAAGCAAAATGCAAAATGTATTGCCTCAGTTGGATTAGCCACATTTCAAGTGCTTAATAGCCACAATCGATGACCACATTTCTAGAGAAAAAATATCAAAAATCTCCTTCATTTCTTCATTGTTAAGAGCACACAAAGAAGGTAAATTAGATGTTTTTCAATACCACCCAAATGACCATGTGTGAGTGAGTGATATTTGTTGTATCTTAGTTATAGCTGTTGTAAGTGAGCCTGCAGTTGATCCTTGGAAAATGTGGAATTAAGATGCTTGCATATATTATGATGTTGGAAAATAGCCATCATTGAATCAATTTTGGTGACTGGTTCTGATTCCTTCAGGTCTGAAAGGATGACAGTGTGATTGATCCCTTTGGACTTTGAAAAGTGGTCAGCTTCGTGTTAGCGGTCTTTATTGTGCTGACTTAAAATTGCTAAAATATTTTCAGAAGACACCCCTGGTAGAATTAAGTTGATCTGTTCTGTTGTTTTGCAGCTGCATAAGGAGGAAGAACAAGCTAATTTTGAGATGCTAGATAGTCAGTGGCTGCCTGCACTTCTGTGAACTGTGAGATTTCATTCCCATTCTACAAATCTGACTTGGATTCATTATTTCAAGAAATGGCATTTTATAAATGACAAGATAGTCTCAGCGTTAAAGAATGTAATGATAGTGTTCCTTACCCTGTGCAAAGGTTGAAGGTTTCTCCAGTAAATTGTGTCAGTATATATTGATCCTGAAATTGAAATTCATTTAAGATTTTTTTTTTGCAGGGACCTTGACAGCATACATTTAAACTAAGGATTTGTTCAATTATGAGCTTAAACAGAAAGGCCTTGCAGATCATCATTCATCCTGAAAATCTTTTTGTTGATTTCTATCCAGACTCTACAGAATTTTGATTTTCTTTCATATGAAATTAGCATCATGAATTGTGTTTATGCCACAATGTCTTAATAGTTTTAAAATTTCACTAAGGCTCTTTAAAATAGATTTTGGTTTTCAAGACATATTGGCCACCTACTCACTCCTCTGCCCACCTATCCACCTACCCACTCATCCTCTATGAGCTAGGCATTGTTGGTGGTGTCAAGGATATTTCCAGTTTGTTTGTTTGTTTATTGAGATAGGGCCTCACTAATGTAGCCCTGGCTGGCGTGGAGCTTGTTATGTAGATGGGACTGCTCTTAGCTCACAGAGAGATCTGAGTGCTGGGATTAAAGGTGTGTGCCACCACACCTGGCTTTAATTCCAATGTAATAGACCCCCCACCTTAGGTGTCTTTTTCTTGGTTAAGAACATGACTCCAGGTAGGGAGGTTTGAGGGGAGATGCTATTTGGATTATATTTTCTTTGTAGTTGTTGCAACCTTTACTGTTGCTAAAGCTATTTTTGAAAGAATCATATATCTTCACTATATTGATTGGGAAGATGCCATTTCTTTTTAAAAAATTAAAACTCCCTCTGGTTTTTTTTTTTTTTTTGAAAGTTGCAAAAACTCTTCAATGCCTCTTGTTTCCATAACATTTTTCATATGGCATCTTTGAAGTTATTGAAGTAAATTCAGTTACAATGCCAAACTTCCTTTTTTGTTTGTTTTTGTTTTTGAGACAGGATCTTACTATGTCTAGCCCAGGCTGGCCTCAGACTCACAGATATCTACCTGCCTCTGCCTCTTACATACTGGGATTGATTGTGCAGTACTACCACACCCATCTAGTTCCCAAACTTCTTATCCTAACAAATGTAGCAATTACTAGAAAGAAAAGGTATTATGCAAATACAAATTAATGATTAATTTATTTCATAATTGTCCCTTTTGCAGATTTATAGTTTTGTAGGTAAATGTAAAACCAGTAATAGTATATGAAAGAAGTTTTAAAACAGTTCATTTAAATTAAAACATAAAAAACCCACCATCTTTCTGGCAGAAGCAGTGTTTTTGAAAGAGGATCATACGATGTACAGTTTTGAACTTGTGTAGGATGAAGATTTGTCCTGGATTTTAGGATGTTTGGGAACCTGTAACTTCTGCCTCTCCTGCTCTGCTAAGACAGACTAAACTTGGAATGATGCAGCATGACCCTTGCTCAAGGATGACCTGCAGGTTTGCCCAGCCTGCTGTATTTGCTTACACCCCAAGAGCACTTGTCATATTTAATTACAGTTACTTATTTATGGTCTCTCTACCTGGCGAATAGGTAGCTTTTGGAAGGCAGGGGAATATATAACACACATCTTTCTCCATTGCTAAACACACTGCCTGCAATGTAAGAGTCACTCGTTAGGTGTGGAATAAATGGAGTAGTGTTAATAAAATCACATTTGAAGACAAAAAGTCGATTTATCAACCTTGGAGTAACTAGTGTACCAAAAGGCTGAATTAGTTTAAAGTAGTAGTGCTCTACCTGGCTGCATATTAGAACTGTCAGGGGAGCTTTTAAAAATGATCAGTGCCAGGGCCCTGTGACAGAGGCAGAATCTCTGGGACAAACATGTAAGGTATTTTTTTTTAAAACGAAATGAATCTTGTGTGAAGAGTCACTGTTTTAAAACTTACCTGATATATGAAGCATTCTGGAACTAGCTTTTCAGAGGATTAAAATTTTTACAAAGTAGAGTAAATATATTTTGTAATGCATTTAAGCTATCAGACCAAAACATGGATTTTTATCTTCTATGCACTTCTGTCTCTGAGGCTGTTGTGTAAGAATTTAGTTTCAGCCTGTGTTTGGCTTTGGTTTCATGGGCCTTTTAAGATTCACATTGATTTATGACACTCGTCTAATGCTAACATGGTGATTGTCTGATGTTGGGAACAACACAGAACAACGATTGCTTCAATAACCATTGATGATAGTTTTCTACTACAATGGCTTAATTTAATAAGAAATTCATTAATTTAGTATGGATTGTTTGCACAAACATTTGATTAAAAGAGAATGGTTAAGTTACTTGCATACTTTAAGTTCTGTACCTGTGACTACAATAATGCAATTTGCCAGAGAATTGAGTTAAATGCAGTCTTATGTAAATACTAGGTTAATATATAAAATATGTGATTAAGCATAGAGGGAAAAATCAGCTTTACTGATTTGTACTAATCACTCTGGATTTCTCATGTATTGATTATCTCAGTGATTTGGAGTTCTAGTACCTCAGGGGGAATGTTACATCATATAGAAGAACCTTTCTGAAAATTTAAGTAGACACTGTACAT